CCTCGCTCATTCTTTGTACGGGTAATTATAGGCAATTATTGTGCTTTGGAGCTTTTTTCAGCCATGTTGCCTTGATCTCAAAAGGAAGAATCTCAGGAAATCGATCCTACGACCTCTCGCCCGTGAGCCCGGACCACTACCGCTGCTCTATTTTGCTTCATAACTCCGTTCAGAAAATCGATTGGCAGATTTGGAAAGCAGATTCGAGATCAGCGTCCAAAAACACATTCAGCAGTGTAGTCTCACTCCATGGCTACTTCGACACATCATCCTTTCCTGGTAGTAACTCTGCCCGTATGCTCGGCGTGGACACTGCCTACAAAATGAGCGATCTGCAAAATATAGACAGAAAGCCATGCTGGGGAGATCCGAACACGCGATGACAAAAAACATCACATGGCCACGAACGCTGATTTGCAACAAACAAGGACATTTCAAGTGAAGGGTGTTCAGCCCAATTAACAAATACTTTACTTCAGATGACGACATTTACCAGTAACTCTACGAGACATCCGAAGAGAACCTTTAGGAGATTCGCACATTAGATTAGAGGATTTCCACCTTTCTCTGTTCAGCTGCAAAGGAAGAGATAATAAATTGGCCCACCTCTACTTTTACCGTCAGCTTCTCTCAACACAGTACACTCTTCGATGTGCCCAAATTTTCCGAAATAATTCCGAATGTCGTCCTCATTATGCTTCTTGGCCAACTGTCCGATAAACAACTTCCTCTCTAAACAAACTCAGCATTCAATTGCGCCTCGCTTAAGTCTCACAAACTGCTGAGGTGATGAACTCTACCATTTCTATTTTCCGTATCAGCAGGTTTCATCTGGACGGGATGATGCATTCCATCGATGATTTCGATATTGTGTAAAGCACTTTGAGCCGCTATTGCATCTCGCCGATGATAAAACGTAACAAAACAGCATCCTTAAACAAAAACCATAGATCTGAGAACAAAGAAGATATGAAAACAGTGTATGTAACCTGCCTTTGCTCACTTGAGTCTGTCTATCCCGCAAAATATTAAGGGAAAAGACAGGGCCATACTTTTCGAAAAGCTTTCGGCAATCTGGTTCATTCCAGTGTCGAGGGATCTGAAAAAAGTCGAATGAACTCAATACATCATACCCAAAATATAGGCTGGTAGCATGACACAATGGGTGTATTGTTACATTAACCACCTAAAACACACCCTCACCAATGATGTACGAGAGCAGAAGAACAATCTTTGCGTGCGCATTATCAACTGACCGTAGGAAATGCTATTCTTCGGCGCTCATGTAATTAGGGGGAGAGGACATTCAAAGCAGGGCATTTAAAGGCATGCCCCAGGATCACATTGGTGTGGCTCTTGCACACGAATGCGAATGTATTGGTGCGAAGTGGGCCGGCAGTGAAGAAAAAAGGAAAAGAATCCGTCGAAAACGCTTAGGTTAAGGGCTCACTCACCTTCCTAATCGGCTGTGCTAAGGGAATGAGAGACTAGCGCGCGGAGAGGAGAGTATGAGGCGAGAGAGCGCTACAGATGAGAGAGCGCCAGACAACAGCCTGATAAGAGAAAAAATCTGCAGCTTCAGCAGCTTTTGCAAGGCCCAAGCGCTCTTGTCGGTTGGTTTCCGTGCACGAGAACGCCATATTTGTGATTGTCTCCCCGTGGGCCCACATTACAGACCGAAGGGAAGCGTTCACATGCGACCGCTTCCTAGATTGTGCATTTAATACCGCTGGTAGGTGATACTAGGACTAGCAATAAGCCCAGGAACTAGGAGATAAGGAAGGGAGAACATAGGTTGCTAGCGTTCTCTCCCAGGATCCTTCCTCCTCGCTAAGGCTTAGTTTCCAATTCTGCAAGTGATTCGCTCACAGTTCAGTGGTCGCCCCTTAACGACATGAGCGCTTTTCTGCGTCTGCCGCACTTAATACTGAAGGCGCGTTCTTCAACTCGAAGTCGAGGGCCACTAGATTCCCAGGGTGGCTATAGTGTGAGAAAGTCTGAGGGATTACTGCAGCCGTTAGTCCAGCCTCGAGCGATTTCCGTTTGTAGCGGCAACTTAACATCGATACACATCAATCATTCTCGAAAGTAAGACTAAGCGTTAC